GAATTACTGACACACTTTGCGTCAGTACAGAATTTAATACGAAAAAATGGCGGAATTAAGAGAACTATCAAGAATCATCACTGTGGTGTAAGGTCACTGTGGTGTAAGGTCACTGGTGTAGGGTCACTGTGGTGTAAGGTCACTAAGGTGTAAGGTCACTGGTGTAAGATCACTGTGGTGTAAGGTCACTGTGGTGTAAGGTCACTGTGGTGTAAGGTCACTGAGGTGTAAGGTCACTGTGGTGTAAGGTCACTGGTGTAAGGTCACTGTGGTGTAAGGTCACTGGTGTAAGGTCACTGTGGTGTAAGGTCACTGTGGTGTAAGGTCACTGGTGTAAGGTCACTGTGGTGTAAGGTCACTGGTGTAGGGTCACTGTGGTGTAAGGTCACTGTAGTGTAAGGTCACTGTGGTGTAGGGTCACTGGTGTAAGGTCACTGTGGTGTAAGGTCACTGAGGTGTAAGGTCACTGTGGTGTAAGGTCACTGTGGTGTAAGGTCACTGAGGTGTAAGGTCACTGGTGTAAGGTCACTGTGGTGTAAGGTCACTGTAATGTAAGGTCACTGGTGTAAGGTCACTGTGGTGTAAGGTCACTGTGGTGTAAGGTCACTGGTGTAAGGTCACTGTGGTGTAAGGTCACTGTAGTGTAAGGTCACTGTGGTGTAAGGTCACTGTGGTGTAAGGTCACTGTGGTGTAAGGTCACTGGTGTAAGGTCACTGTGGTGAAAGGTCACTGTGGTGTAAGGTCACTGTGGTGTAAGGTCACTGGTGTAAGGTCACTGTGGTGTAAGGTCACTGGTGTAGGGTCACTGTGGTGTAAGGTCACTGTGGTGTAAGGTCACTGTGGTGTAAGGTCACTGTGGTGTAAGGTCACTGAGGTGTAAGGTCACTGTAGTGTAAGGTCACTGTGGTGTAAGGTCACTGTGGTGTAAGGTCACTGGTGTAAGGGCACTGTGGTGTAAGGTCACTGAGGTGTAAGGTCACTGTGGTGTAAGGTCACTGGTGTAAGGTCACTGTGGTGTAAGGTCACTGTAGTGTAAGGTCACTGTGGTGTAAGGTCACTGTGGTGTAAGGTCACTGGTGTAGGGTCACTGTGGTGTAAGGTCACTGTGGTGTAAGGTCACTGTAGTGTAAGGTCACTGTGGTGTAAGGTCACTGTGGTGTAAGGTCACTGGTGTAAGGTCACTGTGGTGTAAGGTCACTGTAGTGTAAGGTCACTGGTGTAAGGTCACTGTGGTGTAAGGTCACTGGTGTAAGGTCACTGTGGTGTAAGGTCACTGTAGTGTAAGGTCACTGTAGTGTAAGGTCACTGGTGTAAGGTCACTGGTGTAAGGTCACTGTGGTGTAAGGTCACTGAGGTGTAAGGTCACTGTGGTGTAAGGTCACTGGTGTAAGGTCACTGTGGTGTAAGGTCACTGGTGTAAGGTCACTGGTGTAAGGTCACTGTGGTGTAAGGTCACTGTGGTGTAAGGTCACTGTAGTGTAAGGTCACTGGTGTAAGGTCACTGTGGTGTAAGGTCACTGGTGTAAGGTCACTGTGGTGTAAGGTCACTGAGGTGTAAAGTCACTGTGGTGTAAGGTCACTGTGGTGTAAGGTCACTGAGGTGTAAGGTCACTGTAGTGTAAGGTCACTGTGGTGTAAGGTCACTGGTGTAAGGTCACTGAGGTGTAAGGTCACTGTGGTGTAAGGTCACTGAGGTGTAAGGTCACTGTGGTGTAAGGTCACTGGTGTAAGGTCACTGTAGTGTAAGGTCACTGTAGTGTAAGGTCACTGGTGTAAGGTCACTGAGGTGTAAGGTCACTGGTGTAAGGTCACTGTGGTGTAAGGTCACTGGTGTGAGGTCACTGTGGTGTAAGGTCACTGAGGTGTAAGGTCACTGTGGTGTAAGGTCACTGTGGTGTAAGGTCACTGGTGTAAGGTCACTGGTGTAAGGTCACTGTAGTGTAAGGTCACTGAGGTGTAAGGTCACTGGTGTAAGGTCACTGGTGTAAGGTCACTGGTGTAGGGTCACTGTGGTGTAAGGTCACTGAGGTGTAAGCTCACTGTGGTGTAAGGTCACTGGTGTAAGGTCACTGTAGTGTAAGGTCACTGAGGTGTAAGGTCACTGGTGTAAGGTCACTGTGGTGTAAGGTCACTGAGGTGTAAAGTCACTGTGGTGTAAGGTCACTGTGGTGTAAGGTCACTGAGGTGTAGGTCACTGTAGTGTAGGGTCACTGTGGTGTAAGGTCACTGTGGTGTAAGGTCACTGGTGTAAGGTCACTGTGGTGTAAGGTCACTGTAGTGTAAGGTCACTGGTGTAAGGTCACTGGCGTAAGGTCACTGAGGTGTAAGGTCACTGAGGTGTAAGGTCACTGTGGTGTAAGGTCACTGAGGTGTAAGGTCACTGTGGTGTAAGGTCACTGTGGTGTAAGGTCACTGTAGTGTAAGGTCACTGTAGTGTAAGGTCACTGTAGTGTAAGGTCACTGGTGTAAGGTCACTGAGGTGTAAGGTCACTGGTGTAAGGTCACTGGTGTGAGGTCACTGTGGTGTAAGATCACTGAGGTGTAAGGTCACTGTGGTGTAAGGTCACTGTGGTGTAAGGTCACTGGTGTAAGGTCACTGTAGTGTAAGGTCACTGAGGTGTAAGGTCACTGGTGTAAGGTCACTGGTGTAGGGTCACTGTGGTGTAAGGTCACTGAGGTGTAAGGTCACTGTGGTGTAAGGTCACTGGTGTAAGGTCACTGTAGTGTAAGGTCACTGAGGTGTAAGGTCACTGTGGTGTAAGGTCACTGTGGTGTAAGGTCACTGGTGTAAGGTCACTGGTGTAAGGTCACTGTGGTGTAAGGTCACTGAGGTGTAAGGTCACTGTGGTGTAAGGTCACTGAGGTGTAAGGTCACTGTGGTGTAAGGTCACTGAGGTGTAAGGTCACTGAGGTGTTACCAGGTGTATCACGCCACGTGTGTACCAGGTGTATCACGCCACGTGTGTACCAGGTGTTTCATGCCAGGTGTGTACCAGGTGTATCACGCCAGGTGTTACCAGGTGTATCACGCCACGTGTGTACCAGGTGTATCACGCCACGTGTGTACCAGGTGTTTCATGCCAGGTGTGTACCAGGTGTATCACGCCAGGTGTTACCAGGTGTATCACGCCAGGTGTGTACCAGGTTTATCACGCCACGTGTGTACCAGGTGTTTGATGCCAGGTGTGTTTCTAGTATTAATAAATGTCACTGATAGAAACATTAACAATAACAATCTTATTAAAGTTTTCACTAAACTAATGAGTTGTTTACTTTCTCACGGTGACTAAGGTAGACCCGTGCATGCTATAGTACCCCCTCGAGGCCACAGTCATGAAGATGGTAGACCCGTGCATGCTATAGTACCCCCTCGAGGCCACAGTCATGAAGAAGGTAGACTCGTGCATGCTCTAGTACCCCCTCGAGGCCAGTCACGAAGAAGGTAGACTCGTGCATGCTCTAGTACCCCCTCGAGGCCACAGTCACGAAGAAGGTAGACCCGTGCATGCTATAGTACCCCTCGAGGCCACAGTCATGAAGATGGTAGACCCGTGCATGCTATAGTACCCCTCGAGGCCACAGTCATGAAGATGGTAGACCCGTGCATGCTATAGTACCCCCTCGAGGCCACAGTCATGAAGATGGTAGACTCGTGCATGCTCTAGTACCCCCTCGAGGCCACAGTCACGAAGAAGGTAGACTCGTGCATGCTCTAGTACCCCCTCGAGGCCACAGTCACGAAGAAGGTAGACCCGTGCATGCTATAGTACCCCTCGAGGCCACAGTCATGAAGATGGTAGACCCGTGCATGCTATAGTACCCCTCGAGGCCACAGTCATGAAGATGGTAGACCCGTGCATGCTATAGTACCCCTCGAGGCCACAGTCATGAAGAAGGTAGACTGTAACGTAACACCGCTCTATGTGTATAACACCGCCACTTAAATGTACCACTATAATGGAACACCACTATAATGGAAAACACTACTTATCCTGAGTAACACTTCCCCATTGGTTGCACTTGGTAACACTGTTATGAGCTGACATATGATGGTTACACCGGAACCAAAGGTACACTGCCAATAAGGAAATGCTAACACAAGGATTAAATACGCTGCCACCATCTGCCTTTGACCATTGAAACTATATCAAGCAACGAGGCAAGAAACATTGCTTGACTTGGAGAGTACTTTCTATGACTGTCATTAATTATGAGAACGGTTGTCAGCCACTATATCCAAAAGGCTAAGAGGATTCAACAATTGACACAGATGGGAAATTTATCCTGAGTTTATTAAAGACCAAAATTATGTCAATCAACACTTATAAATCCTACTCTAACACTGGCAAAAAGTTAAGAAATTTGGACATGGAACAAAACCTCAGAGATCACACACATTACCTTAAGACCTGTCTCTCCCTGGCTGAGGTGTTCTTCACAGCCCCTCTCTGGACCCCGGTGTCCGGCACTCTGTGTTCCCTAAGTCCCTACAGGACCTATATATACAACCCCCACAGGGGGAGGGGGAGATCTGCTGTTGCTACCCACCAAGAGTGTACAAACACTCAAGAAATATCTCAATAAGCTTGTTTGACATTCACCATACACTCTTCAAGAGAGGAGTTATTAATTACGTGTGTGGCTGACCTCTGACCTGGCCAAAAAGGGGAAGAACCAGGGATGTTTACACATAAAGAGTCTGGAGTCTAATTCCCTTGCATGAAATATTACATACTTGAAACTATGCTGACTAAGACTAACCCAGGAATTTTTAATCAATAAACAAGATAAACTGGAGGTCATCTGGGCTGACCTCTTGGAGAAGGCTTCCCTGGGTGTGAACTCTTAAGGGGGGGGGGGCATGGGTGTTACAAGACCCGTGCATGCTATAGTACCCCCTCGAGGCCACAATATGGTCAATACAGTAACTCTGACATCTTGGTGTAAATGTGTCGTGTGTGTGTGTGTGTGAACAAAAAGTGTGGCGGGAGACACCTACCTTCCTCTGACGCCGTGTGGTGGTGGGGGGGCTGAGCAGGACGAGCAGGTGGAGGGGCGGGGGTGTTAGGGGGCGTCAGAACTAGCAGACTATTCCTGCTGGCCTGCTGCAGCTCCCTCCAGGGCTTAAGAGGATCCGTGTTCGACACCGCCACGCCATTCCCGATGTTGTTGGTCTCGTCTGCCAACCCGGCCACATCTCCGAGGTGGCCGTTGTGGGCCACATCTCCGAGGTGGCCGCTGTGGGCCACACCTGCGTCATGTTGGCCACCGTTCTCCAGGACATGGCCATTGGTCTTGGCCTTGGGCGACGAGTCCTCCACAGAGTCGTCTTTTGTGCAGGTGCAGGCAGAGCCCATCCTGGTGGTGCCAGGGACCCTACACCATCCCTGTGTCCCTCTCACAGTGCCAGGGGCCTACACCGTTCCTGTGTGTCCCTCACAGTGCCAGGGGCCTACACCGTCCTTGTGTGTCCCTCACAGTGCCAGGGGCCTACACCGTCCTTGTGTGTCCCTCACAGTGCCAGGGGCCTACACCGTCCTTGTGTGTCCCTCACAGTGCTAGGGGCCTACACCGTCCTTGTGTGTCCCTCACAGTGCCAGGGGCCGCCGTCACCGGCCCTTACACGGCTGCTGCATCCGTTTAGGGACAGGCTACGGCCTTGGCTACTGGCACTCCAGATGCACCAGTAGTTTAAAGACACTGACACTCGAGGTGTACCATCAAGTTTAAAGACACTGGCACTCGAGGTGTACCGTGAGTGCCCGGTGTACCATCACGGCGCCTCACGTGCTACTAGTGTACCGCTTCATCTCCAGCACGGTACACACGCCCCCGGACGCCTCCAGGCCACTGCAGTGTTACATTTCACACTTCTCACACCACCTCACTCCTCAGTGAGTGACCCATATTGGCCCTGGCGTGAGAACATGATTAGTGAGTCCTCATGCGCCCCCTCACGCCTCCCTCATACACTCCCTCACGCCTCATTCCTCACTACTCCCACCTATCAGCTTATCTCATTTACGGTACGCCTAACCAAATAATACTGTAAGTATACCTCCTCCAGCACACACCACCACCCTCACTCAAAACACCAAATTGAAGGTAATGTTATTTGGAATAACGTAAGACTTGTAAAAACGTGAACTTTGATTAGATAAAACTGTGTGAGCGGGGAGAGGCGTTCTTAGTGTTCTCTCAAGGCTGTATTTCTGTGGAAGAACACACATGGTGTGGCTCCAGGTGTGGTGGGCAGTGTGGGCAGGTGTGGTGGGCAGGGTGGGCAGGTGTGGTGGGCAGGGTGGGCAGGTGTGGTGGGCAGTGTGGGCAGGTGTGGTGGGCAGTGTGGGCAGGTGTGGTGGGCAGTGTGGGCAGGTGTGGTGGGCAGTGTAGGCAGGTGTGGCTGTGTTCACTTTTAGTCTCAGTACCGAACATGAACTTGAACACATACAACAGCCCGTCCTCTAAACAAAGGCCTAAAGACCATTCCATCCACCCGCCAACCCCCCAGGTGTTTATAAATGAAAAACGGTTTACACACGACTCACAACTGCTGACGTCCGAACACTTCCGGAACAAGTGCTTCACTGACGACTTGTGTTCGAACCACAACGCTGTAAATGCTTCACCCACGTACTACAAATAATCGCCAACAGAACTTAAACTCCTAACATAACCTATGACTAAATATGCACAATATGCTAATATTAATTTATATTTGAGAAAAGTTTTGTTTTGAATGAACAGCATGTTAAAATTAATGAATGCGTCTGTGGGGTCGACCGCTGGATGGATTGGACTTGGTCTGAGGACGGGTAACACACACAGAGCAACATTAATCTCAGGAATGAGAAACCTCTCTCGTGAATATATTATAAAATACTTATCAAAGTATTTCATTATATTTTCATGAGAATGTATATGGACCAAAGGATATATCAAAGGAAATATGAACAATGTTTTAAATATATCAACATTAAATAGAACACGAAACAATGGATATATTTTAAAGAAGTTTAGAGCCAGGGAAGAAAGTCCTGGATAAATACTGGCTTCCGGGTAACGTAATTAAATGTGGGATCGTTGGATTGGTTCATGCGCAGGTTTGACGCGCACACAAATATATATACAAGATGACCAAACCATCCATCAGATAATACAGGAACCACTCCATCATCTGATGGAGTGGTTTCTCCATCTTCTGATGGAGTGGTTTGGTCATTATCTCTTCACGTTCTTCTGACTCATCCTGTGTGTGTGTATGTCTAATATTATATATATATATATATATATATATATATATATATATATATATATATATATATATATATATATATATATATATATATATATATATATATATATATATATATATATATATATATATATATATATATATATATATATATATATATATATATACACACACACACCCACACTTTTAGGGCTTGTATCCCTCTGACTGGTGTTACATCTGGGTTTAATTGGGAGTGGATATATTATCTTGAGGTTATCTTGAGCATATTATGTGCATATTACACAACACCAACATGTAAGAAGTGCACATATTCTTGAAGACATTCTCATAAAAGTCGAATAACCAGCCAGAAATACTCATAACGGAACTATTCACACTACCACCACCGGTGTGACCCACCACCAGTGTGACCCACCGCCAGTGTTGTGAGGTGCTGCCCTTTACTCTTTCACCAAAATCAACGTCTTGAAGACCCTATAAGAAGGCGCCAGCATAACACCCACGACCTGGGTCAAGAAGAGAACATTGTGCTCTCTCTCGTGTCTGGACGACCTCGAAAAAATCAAAAAAAATCGATGGCGGTGCACTGGGCCAAGTACAGCACCTGTGTCCTCTCTCTCCCCACCTCAGTACACCGCCGACCGGACAGTCTTGATCAGCGGGACCAGCCGCTGCATCGCTGACCGAAAACAAACGGAGATCATTACCAACATTGAGGAGGAAACTCCGAACCTCGAGGGTACTGGACGTTATGTTGTGTGCGGCCCCGACACCGACGGCGACCATGCAGCGGGCCACCGTGAAGATATCCTTCACCGTCTGAGCCGCGGCTAACCTGGGGCCAGATTCACGAAGCAGATACGCAAGTACTTACGAACGTGTACGTCTTTCCTCAATCTTTGACGGCTTTGGGTATATCTATTAAACAGTTTACAAGCATGAAAACTTGCCGATCAAATGTTGTTATTGTTATAAACAGCCTCCTGGTGCTTCGGAGCTCATTAACTGTTTAATAATTGCAAACAAACCCGCCAAAGATAGAGAATAGCTGTACAGGTTCGTAAGTGCTTGCGTAACTGCTTCATGAATCTGGCGCCAGGCTGCCACACACGGTCTCCACTGCTTCGGCATCAAGATTCCGCCCTTCCAAGTGAAGCAGCAACGATCCCACGAGCTCCGACAGTGCTCTCTGCGCTACGACAACTCCCTCCCCACCACCAAGTGTCAGCACCCCGTCCAGCAGTGCAGACTTTGCCCACCACGACTCCATCTGCAAGTCTAAAACCCACTGGTGTCTGCTCTGCAGCGACGATCACCCGGCAATTTCCCACTGCTTCCCTCGCAGACAGGAAATCATTAGGATCCAGGCTGAACCACACACTAGAAGGTGTAGGGACGACGACGTTTCGGTCCGTCCTGGACCATTCTTAAGTCGATTGTAGTCCAGGACGGACCGAATCGTCGTCGTCCCTTCACCTTCTAGTGTGTGGTCTGGTCAACATACTTCAGCCACGGTATTGTGACTCATCGCCTGCAGCCAGGCTGAATGCAATAAAGCCTACTTCAGCAGGTCACCTCACCAGGCTACCAGTATACCACCACCTCACCAGGCTACCAGTATACCACCACCTCACCAGGCTACCAGTATACCACCACCTCACCAGGCTACCAGTATACCACCACCGACCAGGCTACCAGTATACCACCACCTCACCAGGCTACCAGAATACCACCACCGACCAGGCTACCAGTATACCACCACTCACCAGACTACCAGTATACCTCCACCTACCAGTCTACCACCACTCGTGTAAATACTTACATTACATTCCACATATTTAAAAATTTGTACAACTATTCAGGGAGAATCCACTAGGTCTTCCCTGCATGCCTTAATATCTCTTCTCCGAGGCTTCGGGTCCCCACAATATTACCAGACGTACAACACCAATATTTATCTAGTTACTGGCCGAGATATGGAGCCACGTATGTGAGACACACACACAAACGTGAAGCTCGTGACTCTTTAACTACATGATTGACCCCGACGCGAGGTCACACTGGGCGCGAGTGAGTGCCACAGCAGGCGAGTGCCTCCCCCACACACACGCACGCACGCACGCACCCCTACACACGCCACCGCTACACAAGGCCAACTGCTGCTATTTCATCAGTGCTACAACCGCTCCTCCTACCACCCCCCCCCCCCCCGCCACACGCACACGCGCACACACAGGCTAGGGGGGCCTGTGGCTGAGTGGGCAGCGCTTGGCACTCGTAATCTTAGGGTCCGGGCTCGATCCCCGGCGATGGCGGAAAACAAATGGGCAGTTTTTTCACCCTGATGCTCCTGTTCACCTAGCAATAAATAGGTACCTGGGGGTTAGACAGGTGTTACGGGCTGCTTCCAGTGTGTGAGAGAGTGTGTGTGTGTGTGTGTGTGTGTGTGTGTGTGTGTGTGTGTGTGTGTGTGTGTGTGTGTGTGTGTGTGTGTGTGTGTGTGTGTGTGTGTGTGTGTGTGTGTGTAAAAAATAGTTAGTAACAGATGATTGATTGACAGTTGAGAGGCGGGCCGCAAGAGCAGAGGTGAAGCCCTGCAAGCACAACTAGGTGAGTACACACACACCGTGGCCCTGGTGGAACACATTGGGCAACACGAGCGTATCTATCATAACAAAATCCTTAATTTCCATGGAGACAAACGTGGTGGCGGCCGCTGGCATCCACGGAGCCGGCGCCAGACGTTGCTATAGCAACATCCCGCACTTTCCTAGAGGGGGGGTGCTGGGGGTGAGAGAAGGGAGGGTGCATCTCATGTCGCTGGAAGACAGGAGAGCTCGGGGAGACATGATCACTACCTACAAAATTCTGAGAGGAATCGACAGGGTAGATAAATATAAACTGTTTAACACTGGTGGGACGCGAACAAGGGGACACAGGTAGAAACTGAGTACCCAGATGAATCACAGAGACGTTAGAAAAAACTTTTACAGTGTCATAGTTGTTAACGGATGGAATGCATTAGGAAGTGATGTGGTGGAGGCTGACTCCATACACAGTTTCAAGTGTAGATATGATAGAGCCCGATAGGCTCAGGAACCTGTACACCTGTTGATTGACAGTTGAAAGGCGGGACCAAAGAGCCAGAGCTCAACCTTCGCAAGCACAACTAGGTGGGTACACAGGGAAGATAAGGCACTGGACATTGTGTCCTTTTCAATATTCTGAGACAAGAATGTTCTAATGCTGTCACAACATGTTGTAATCTTGTTGTGAGCAGTGTCCAGCTCACCAGACCACCCACACCAGCCAGTATGTACTGCAGGTGAGTGACACAAGGAAGGCGGGACCAACACCTAAAGCTCAACCCCGCAACGACACATCGGCGAGTACAGTTAGGAGAGTACAGACGGACCGGGGACCAATAGGAGACAAGCAGGGAGATGGAGGGGTTGGCAGGGGAGGGGTGGGGAGGGGAGGGGAGGGTAGGGGGGAGGGGAGGGTAGGGGTGGGGGCAGGGTAGGGGTGGGGGCAGGGTAGGGGTGAGGGCAGGGTAGGGGTGGGGGCAGGGTAGGGGTGGGGGCAGGGGAGGGGTGGGGGCAGGGGAGGGGTGGGGGCAGGGGAGGGGTGGGGGCAGGGTAGGGGTGGGGGCAGGG